GTATGAATCAATGTCGCTCCAACGTACGTCGCATAATGCGACAATTAGCTCTGCCGAACTTGCGACGAATTTTGCCGCTAGTTCAAATTCTGCCGTATTTAATAGGATTCATACGTACTTAATTGACACATGAAAAGTACGAGCTAGCCTACAAGGCCGTTTTCCACTTCGGCCGCACCGTAACGTACGTATGGATGAGCATGCGCAGATTGAAAAGAGGTTGATAAATCCACGTATTTCCGGTGTATTCGCGCATCAACTGAACAAGTTCGTCGCCAGTCAGCTTTACTATACGAATGTATTAACCAATCGACATTCACTAAATTTTGAACTTTAAAGATCTTTTTGATACGTTTCGGTACGTACCACCTGTAGTGGAAAACGGTCTTTAAAGTATTTTAATACATATAAACACAGCCAGTGAAAAATTTCTTTATATTCTGTGCATGAACAGTATTGTATCTTGCGACAATACGCCAACATAACGTTGACTTGGTCCGAGGTAAACGCAACATTGGCATTAAGGAAACGTAACGTTGAGTTGAGATCAACGCGACGTCGACTGCTAGCAAAGCCAAAGAGCTACTATATGTAAAGTTTTTGCATCACCAAATTGTGAAATAAATCAGTGACTCTGAAAAGGCCGGCGCATATATTACAGTTCGCAATGAAAGCGTGCACTTTCATGTACATTGTTGCAAACAATTGTAATAATTCAATTGGCATTGTCCTTGTTCAAAACCTGTTCAAACGATAATCAACTTTGCATAATATAGATTAGTGTCCAGATTATTAAATAATTTCTTTTAGCAGCGTGAAAATATCAGCCAATATTTTAACTTTGTTCAGTTAGGTAAACACAAATTGCAAATATAAAACCAAAATCGCATGGCACAATTGTATATGCAATGAGTTAGCGTTATGTCTATACCGCTATAGAGTCAAAATAATTAAATTTGGTATATATACCATTACAGTCCTAAAATTATCCGTTGTTTGTCAGGAAGTTGAATTGAGTTGATGTTATGCCTATAACTTGACGAAGAGCCTTAGTTCGAGTCAAACCGACACGAATAGTTTTCAACTAGTTTCGACAAAATTCACAGACAGAGGGCAATAAGCTACTATTTTGTACACCTTCTAAATTATCTTGGTAAATATAAGATATTGCACTGTGTTATTAGCCAAATTGTTTGGATATAATTAAAATAACAGGAAGTTCTAGATCGATCGTTTCAGCTCCGACATGACCTCTTACTGCGTGCTATATACAAAGATTCTGTATATTCTTAATACAACATTTCGCATTAGAGAGTAAAAATATTGAACATGTACTGGTTCATTTTAACCTTTTTAATCATAATTAATAATAATACATATAAAAATGTTTTAAATTAAACAAATTGTGATACAGCCATTAATATGCATGCAAAGCGGACAAAATTACGAACAGTAAAATATCAAGGGCAATTCTCCAACATCAAGTCGATTTTACAAATATCAAGCCCATTTTACAAATATCAGGTCCATTTAACAAATAAAACGAAGTTGATCTTGCCAATTAGGTCATAATTCATTCTATGAATGTATGATTCTGTAGCAATTTATTCAGCGATCAAGCAAACATGGCGTATTTAACCAATAAATTTGCTTGTTAATACCGCCAAGCAACGCTAAAATGGATAAAGGGTCATAAGAAGAGAAATTAAAGGTATGAGCTTAGCGAACTTCAAATTTGACTCATAAAACGAGCAGTAAGTGTGGGTATTTATCTCAAACACGGATTCATTCCCGTAGCTATTGCATGCAACGTTGAAAGCAATTTATTTTGAATATTCCTTGGTTCCCTTGCTGAATAGTTTTACCAAATCATTTCACGTTACGTTCCGCCATATTTTTGTCCGATGTTGAAGTAATTAATACATCATCATTGAATATAAATTATGAAATATCTTTTGTAAAATGGATTTGATATTTGAGAAAACTGACTTGATGTTGGAGAAATGGCCTTGATATTTCACTGTTTGTATTTTGTCTGTCTTGGCCAGACATATTAAATGCATGAAGCTGGCGATGCATGACCTGCCTGGCAGACGGTTTTTTAGGGGAGGATATGCGGGCGGTAAAATTAGGGGGGGAGAACGTCGCGTGGGCGGAGAAAAGGGCAGGCCTGAAAAGCCTTTTCTCTGCCCGAGCTCAGTTTTTCTGCCCTAATTTTCCTGCCCGCAAGTCCTCCTCCAAAAAACCGTCCGCTACGCAGGCTAGGTGATGCATGCAATTGCATATTATCTAATGCTGATTAACCCTACCAACATTACTAATGGATGATTTGATCTGATATTACATAAAGCATTTTTCAAACAAAGCGTGAACATACTTTATATTAGAAAAATCTAGCGATTAACTTTCTGCAATACATGCATGTCAAGTAATTCCACCTACAACATTAATGTCCCAGCTGCTAAATTCAATTATATGGAACGAGACGCCCGAAAATCTTCGTATATTTTCCCATCGGCATCTTTGCGGCACAGAGCGTCCTCCCAAAAAAGTCCGCCCCCCCTCGCTTCCACAATATTTAGTAGTATTGCTGCACGTTGCTAGAGGACCTATATAAAGTTGTATTTTTCGCAGATGCTCCCAGTGAGGTCTAAAGTTGTTATAAATTTTTGTTCGAAAATTCTATCTACAAATATATCCCATCAAGGCAGGAAAAACTTGTAGTAAAGTTGGCGTCATGAAGTAAAGTGTCCTTCATGAGGATCGTGATGAAATAGAATTGTGTAATATATATAGGTGTAAACACTAAAGGAAAATTAGAAGAAATCACGTGACTGACCAAGTAACGAAGTAAAAAACGTATCCTTGTAACTATATTCGAAATATATTTGAAGTTGAATCGATAACAGAAAGGTAAAAAAAAGGTGACGAAAATCGTAAATCATTCTATATGGTGCAGGGTATACATGCATGGTCACTTATATACTTTAACCTGTAACTATTTCTCGTTTACGCATATTAGTGCAGATACTGTATAATTGCAATACTGATACAGTGTAGTATTGTAGTTTGTACTTTGGCCATTCAGACTTAGTAATAGTTGAACTTTCATTTACTCTTGAGGTGGTGTTACTTCTTCAATCACAATACGAGACACTGAAATCCAACCAGTGGAACCATCTCCGTGAATTTCATTCTGACACTTGCCAATCCAGAATCCCACACGTACATGACCTTTAGGAACCTGGTTACAGTAGCCTTCAATATGCCGGTGATGATGGGGGATGATTTGGATCGTACGGGTGTAAACAATTCCATCAATAGTAGCTGGTTTTGTACATTCTGCGCCATCAAAGGTAAAATACCATCTATTGCAAACATTATTGCCTTTAGAAGTTAGGGTTCCTTCGTAAAATACACGAAGTGAAGTGTTGTCGTACTTCTTGTTGAAAATACAGCTCTGTACATAGTCAAAGAAAGACACCAATTAGATGTAATTTAATTATCCGTGTGTATATACAGTTTCGCGCGCACGTAGCTTTCTTCAGTATGCATGCACCTGTGTAAGTTATAATCAAATATGTAGCACCATTAATTATTAAAATAAGTTCTTTGTGCCGTCAAAGTTCAAAGTATTCTCGTTGGTGGTTTACCTTGAATTAACCAATGAGGGTAATTTCTCTTTCAATTATTAGCAGCTCATGTGGATTTCACTATGAATTCAATAGACACTACAGGGTGTCCCCAAAAAAGTCGCTTTTTAGAAATCACTCTTGTGCATTATTAGCTATACCTTTGGGAATTTAATTTTATTGTACATGAACGGCAGAAGTATTTACAACTTCCCTTCGTCCAAATAATTTAACTTCAGTTAGACTTTGCTTTTACGCATGAGTTGTTACGACAAATATTAGTTGCTCTGTAGTCAGTGGAACCATTGTTACTCGAACTGACGATAAGACGAATTTGTAATTTGACATTTTTGTGTTACTGTTCGTTTTAGAAGCTATTTTAAATCCCCAGAGGTATAACAAAAAAGTGCTTTCTATAGGGGACTTTTTGGGATGCCTGTAGTATGCAGGGTGTATAAAAAAACGCAACCTCGGAATTTTCTAAAAAATCCACTTTGAAATTCTTAAGCACAAAAGATTCTAGGCCCCTGGGAATTGAAATCGAATTGCTAATACATCATATTAGCCTACATCTGACAAGGCCCTTGACAATTTAACTGTTGTTGTACTGTACTTTAAAATTAAATCTTATTAAGTGTCATTAAATAAATGCACTTATTATTAGCATGACAAAATTACTAGATGCTGATTGGTTGAGAGGAGTATAATTATTTCATTAATTGTAACTGTAGTACAATTAATGATTTTCCCAAAACAAACAAAATGGCGGAAAGGTATTTTAAACACAAATGTGAAATGAAATTGCCCTTGAGGAACAAGATGAAAATACGAACAAAAGCATTTTGCTTTAACAAAAGAACTAAATGAAAGTGCGAACAAAAGTACCAAATTTTGGTTGAAAGTCTGGCAGGACTGGGCTTTGGCGAGAGAATATGATGTTGATGGAGAAGTATCCAATTTTGTTATATGCTAATAATAAACAACGGCGACTTTCGAAACTGTCCGTTGTGCATAGGAGCCTGGGACTCAGGAGCTGTAGGTAGTTTAGAGGCCTGTATCTTCGAAATCATTGCACTAAATCAAAACAATCTTTTGAATTTACTAACTAACTTTTTACGCTCTTTTCAAATCCATAAAGGTCCCACAAGTGATATGGGCTCTTTAAACGTTCACTAACTATTTAAAACAGTGTTTTCTTTGCATGCATGCAAGCATGTTTGTTGTTGAGTGAATTATATACTTTGTATTATAGTAAGCCTGTTTAAGTGCTGTCTGTTGTTTTGACAGCGATATACTTGTTTACTTAATTCGCTATGCTTTTATAATTATTCTTTACACGAACGTATATTAAGGTGGAATTAATATTTGAATGAAAGCAATTAAAATCAATAAATTTATCTTTTCTATTGTTTTTAAAAGGCTATTTAATAAAGGAAATAGAAAACATTTTTCCGTGTTCTATAGAGTTTATAGAAACGCTTGTGAAACTTTGGGAGAAACTCGAAATTGCGTGGAAACACTCGCACTTCGTGCTTGTGTTCCCACGCAATTTCTCGTTTCTCCCAAACTTTCACGCGTGTTTCTATAACTCTATAGAAACACGGAAAATGTTTTCTATATTTTCTTAAACAGCTGGTTTGGTGCAATAATTCTATAACGAAATTCAGTCACTCAATTGCCTAACTGTAATTTGTGTGACTTATACAGAACAATAATTTAAGATGTACATGTCCATGTAATGTCACCCTTTATAAAATAGCCTTTTAATAACACCTGCGCTGATTGGTTGAAAAGCGAAAAATCCCGTGTTTCTATAGCGCTATAGAACACGGGAATTTTCCACGAACCTCAAAACAACACACTAAAACAAACATTTTTCGCCTGAAATATCGATTAAAAATATACGTTTCAATTTTGTTAATAAACAAGCAATGGAAAACACTTACCAAACGTTTTTTCGCTTTAACTTTTCTTTAAATCAACTTTTGCAGCGTGTTTTTTTCCATAATTTTGCAGTCGCCAAAACTGAAAATTGATGCCGGTATTGTTGCTAGGCAACATTTTCTTGTTATTGTGTAATGAGAATATACTTTTTAATCGCGTTAAAATATTGTTTTTTTGTTATTATCACCAGGTTATTTAATAAAGGAAATAGAAAACATTTTTTCCTGTGTTTCTGTAGAGTTATAGAAATACTTGTGCTAATTTGGAAGAACTCGAAATAACTCGCACTACGTGCTTGTGTTCCCACTGATTATTTCTCGTTCTCCCAAACTAGCCCGCGTGTTTCTATAAGTCTATAGAAACACGGAAAATGTTTTCTATTTCTTAAATATTAATAAATTTTGGCCAGTGCTAATTTTTCGTATTGTCGAAGTATCCACGAAATGCAGAAAAAGGTTCAAGACAGCCGTATTCAAAAGGTTATTATAGGTATTGTTCTCATTTGACGCTCAGTTAAGAGCCTTTGGCCCAAATTGAAGATTTAAAAATTTCTTATACTAATAAAGATTAAATGCACAACATCGCATCATTAATAATAAATAACGTGATATTAATACCTGTAGCAATCCTGTGTCTTTTCCATCAACCCTTTTCCACACACATTGTTTCCAAGTTGACTTCACAAATTCTACATTTCCTCTTTTCCCAGGCCTCCCAGGATCTCCTTTCGCACCAGCAGAACCAGGTGATCCAGGCAGACCATCTCTTCCAGGATTTCCTGGAACACCAGGGATACCTGGGATGCCTGCTGAAGCACAGGTTACCGGAGGCCAGTAAAAATAACAGTAAATTGTTTAGAATAAAATAAAACCAATATCACACTTGTCACAGCTTTATAATTAAGGTTTATCTGCATTGTTATATTGTTGATTTTATCCACTGCTTTACATCAATTGAAAGAAATTTGGAATGAATATATTTATATTAGTGATGTCTGTCAGATGACCATATTCTTTTACCATAACTTTGTAATTAGTTTGACATTATATAGAGAAAAGAGGTCACTGTTCTGCGTTATTATTTTGTGAAATTTTGCAGAATCATTAAGAGAAATTTTGCTTCACTTCAAACACTAATTAATATTTCTTTTCCTAAATTAGTTGGCGAGCGGGGCGTTGCGGCTCTAAAAAAATTTTCTCGACATTCTATTTTTTTTCCCAACATTCCATTTTCTTTTCTATTTTAGAAACAAAATTAAGATTCTATTTTCGTTTAGATTAACGTAACGTTGTTCTTTTAACTTTTTTTCTAAATTGTAGCGATAATTATTAGTTTCTTTTTCTTTTCTCTTTCCTATCCAATTCATATTTTGCAAACTACAAAAATAATTTGCCGACAGGGATTCAATAATTTGCCGACTATCAGATGTCTGGGGGGGTGGATTTCGCCTGTTTCACGCTTGCATATTGTCACTCCTTAAAAAGCTATAATCAATTTCCATATGCTGTAATTAACAATTATTTGGCCTAATAATAGTGCAAGCTTAACTATAATAACAATGAAAAGAGAATCCTTACCTTGCCTTTGGATTCAGTTTCACCTCTGACCCCTGGCTCAACCATAAAGATTAGACAGAACAGGAAAATCACAAATTTAGAATCCATCTCACACAGTATCTCTAAATGATTCTTGGCAATAAAACAAAGAAGATACTTTTTCATACTTTTAACAAATGAGATACCTTTTATTTTGGTATTCAGCAAGTAATATTTGTTCAAAAATATCCATCTAAATCGTGAATTTTCCATTTTTAAAAAAACTGTAGCGAGTCATCTTAAACTTTACATAATGCCCAAACAAATGCGCTCGCTATATTTAGTGGCATTACAACGTTTGATATAGATCACAGCAAGAAGGTAAGAAACATTATGCATTTTATTGTATTACTGGAGAATCTTTGCTTTAAATTGTTCTTTATTTCGCTGGTATGGAACTTAAATAGCAAAAGAACAAAAGTAAAAATGAAAGCTATTCCTCAGACTCAATGAGAAAAAAAGGTATTAAGAATAATATTTTTGTAAAAAAATGTGTTTTTAGCACGATACACGACTTTTAACCCACGACACACGACATAAATGGAAACTTATCAAAGTGCGTTTTCGCGAGATTTTTCAGTGTCATTTACTCATCAATTTATCACAACACACATGCGAGAAATCCGACAGAAAAACTTGCTAATATGCCGGCGAAACGCAAAATGAAGGCAACGCTACAGAGCCATCTATATGATGATTGCTACCCTTCCAGAGAGAAAATTTCGCTCTCTTGTTGTTGTATAAAGTATAATAAAAGACATCGTAATTTAAATCAAACAAACAAGCTGCTAAGATTGGCTGCTACGCAACAGGTGGGAAATTTGTCTGAGCATGCGCGAGTAAAATGAGTCACGCAATTGTGTGGAATACACGCAACGCGTGTTTACAAAAAAGCACAATCGTGAATCGTGTAAATATTGCAAAATGTTTGTACAAAATAAATGACTGTTTTATGTTGAAAGAGTAAACATGTTCTAAATTAATCATACAGAACTTTTTAGTGACGTTCTATTTCACTAGTACCCTGCCATTGTCTCTGGTGGGCTGTCCGTGTGCATTCGATCTGAAACAGTTGCTACTTTGCTGTCGAAGAATTTCGAATGTTTACATGAAAATAGAGGCAAGTCATGCATTTTACAACGTCTTAAACTGTATGAGCCCCTATTTTTACGCTTATACCCAAGATATCAAATAAAAGTACATGAAACAGAGAACATTTGTAGAAAGTTTTATCGTGAGGCCACGGCCAGTTTTTAAAATATCTTTATTTCTGTTCCGGTCATCACCAAAATTACACGAAAGCCGGATTTGAATATACAACAAATTTTGAATCGCATCAAGCACAAAAATACTTAACGTGTAACCAAAATATGCTCATGAAATCGAAATTAATAGCTAAATTTTCAAACTAGACCCTTCTCGAAGCGGTTTTCATGAAGGAAGTTCACATTTCGGCCTTTGATTCTTGGCAAAAATTTGACCACAACACGTGTGAAGCAACTTGGTCTCAAAGACTGAACTAAAACATTGTGAGCCCCTATTTTCCTAACGATATGTTTGATACCTACAAACGCCGAAAACTTTTTTCTTTTCATTTAGCTATATTTGAAATTGAGGCCACGGGCTATTTTTGAGAAAATACAGTTCAAAGTCAAGCTATTTTTACATATTTTCAAAATTTGTCAAATTTCGCGAGCTTGTATTTTGAACTTAGACAGCTGAAGTTACATTAACAAATATAGGATGGAAAATTTGAGGCATATAAAGTTAATTTCAACTTACATTTCATTCTCAAATCACGTCTTTCTTCGTTTATTACGGTTTTAAACAAGCCATAGATCGACCTATACGGTATTTACTCCCATGTTCACGTCACCATATGAACTTCTTCCAATCACTCGATTACAAAACAATCATGCCAAAACAAAGAATTCATGATCGACTTTTAAAAGAATAACCAATAATTTGTAAATCGTTGAATGGAAAGCAAAAAATCGTCAGCTAAAACAGCTTCTTGCTAACTTTCTGCTTTGTTTTGAATGTAAATGCAATGAGCTTTGTTTCTGCCCGCAATTTTTTGGTCAGCGACGACAAATTTCCCACCTGTTCTGCTACGCAGTATTTACACACTTCCGGTATTGAGTATCACACACCGATCCACACATTGTAAATTACAATTACAACTTTCGCGGCAAAACAAATTGTAATTTTTCCATTTTTTGTTATATCCTGCCAAACCCGGTAGAATTTCAATATTTTCGAAAAAACCTGCGGAGATCGAAAGATTTCCCCAGCCCCTCAATATAAATCAATAAAAATGTAAAAATGATGAAATCAGTATCTTTATCATATAATGTATAACCTTAATCAACAAAGCATTTCAACATAACATGTATTTTAGTCACTGAAGAACGAAATAAAAACTTACGTCGTCCACGATCTTGAAGAATATGAAAACTGATACGGCTTTTTGGTCCACCAAACGTCTTGTCAATCTACAACTGTTCACTGTCAAACATTGAACGCATCTGACAAGCAAGCTTGCAAACCCTGTTTATAACTGCTTCTGTATTGATAACATGAACAATTGAAACAATTGTCACAGTGGATCGTTTCAGCTCCGATCTAATAATAATTTTGAATTTACTCTACGACAACAGGATGTTCTAGAGAGTACCTCTTTCAGTTCGGACTTGACATTAACCCCACCTCTGACTGTGCTATATAGACAACCGACCATTCTTATCTTTCAAACAACTTTCAATTACATAATTATACTGAACTTTGTACAATGGTTCATTTTTCCCAGGCCAAGCTGTTAACAGCATAATAAGTATGCTGCCATTGGCAATCAAAAGCACCGCGCGCCGACTTTTTTCCGTTCTTTGCTAGCAGTCAACGTCACATTCACGCAGTGAATATCAACGGGTAAAAATTATTCCAAAAAGTAGGATAAAATTTTGTCCTGAAAACTACCCTGTTTTTGAGGTAATTTTCAGTAGGGAGTAATTTTTGTTCCACTGGTTCGGGAGTAAATTTAACTGCAGAAACGTGGGTATACCTCAACTTAACGTTACGTTTGCTGTCAACGTTACTTTTACCCAAGTCAACGTTAATATTATATAATATATTTTTTCGCGAATAAATATGCGGGCGGACATTTAAATTATTCCTTTCGTCGATGTTACATGTAATAATTATTGACTAATAAACATTAATCATTATTATATATTCAAAGTCTATCTTCTTTCGTGATTGGTCAAAACGCATCGAATAATTCTTGGAATCCTGAAACCGTCGCATTATTTCAGCTGCTGACGCCATCAGCATGCAATAATACCTTTTTGGACCGAATTTCGATCCAAAAAAGTATTATTGCATTTTGTGGTTACCAATCCCCGGCACGACCCATTGTTTGCTAAAAATTGTGCGAAAATTCCATATTTTTAAAAGTGCAATTATCAAGGCCTCGGTTTGTGTTATTCCACCTCAGCCTTCGTCTTTAGTGGGTAACCCAGACCTCGGCCTTGATAATTGTCGATATCATACTCAACTTCGTTAGTAATTGTTTAATATTTTAAGTATTGGTTATTGTTTTGTTGGTAGATATTTGCTTCTATCAACTATCTTATTTGACTGTCATACTTCGTCGTCTTATCCTATTGAATCCCTTTAAAATTTATTTTGTGTTTTTTTTTACGTGAAAACCTTCACCCCCCGTCGCGTACCACTAAATATCCTCTTCTATCCCTACAAATCCTATATAATAATTTGTCCCCCCCCCCCTTAATATTACGCAATTTTACTAAAAATTCGTAAGGCTTTGCGGAGGAGAGTGCTTCAAAACTATTAGCAAGTAATGTGAGCTAAAAACAAATGAGAGGCGTGGCAAATACACAATACTTGTGTTTAATCTTCTTGGCGTACTCTTCATGTGCCGAACTTATTACACTGACCTGAAAGGTCAAGTGTCATAATCACCAGTTTTCTGTGGGGTTCGTAGTTTTCGTCGTCGAGAAATGGAGTTTCCATCAGTGCATTGCAGGCTCAGTTTCCAGTGTGCCAGTCGTTCCAGGTTACTATACAGATCAATTTTCAAGATGGCGGCCTTTTAATGAGTGACTATTTCAGTCTCAAACTATTTCTTCATTTTTCAACGAATTTTACCACGTTTTTGTGTGGA